CATGATTTCTGATTATATTCCTTTATCATGTTTTTGCTAAAATTAACAGAATTGCATAATTTCACATTTTTTGGGCTCAGTTTGCTTAATTTCTGAGGGTTTTTTTGCGGGGGCGTAAAACCGCGGGGACAGGTTTGCTACCTCAACATGCCCTCATGGTCTCCACAGGCTCTCAGTCTGTACAGGACAACGTCGCCGCGGAGGTCGGTATGGACACGCGCTCTCTCTCGCCGGCCGGGGTCAGTCAGATGTTCCTGAACACCAGCCACACACGCGAGAGAGACGCGCCCAGCCGGCCCTCAGCCTCCAGCCACCCAGTTGTCAGAGACACACCCGCCAACCACCCGGTCGTCAGAGACACACCCGCCAGCCACCCAGTCGTCAGAGACACAGCCGCCAGCCACCCGGTCGTCAGAGACACACCCGCCAGCCACCCAGTCGTCAGAGACACAGCCGCCAGCCACCCGGTCGTCAGAGACACAGCCGCCAGCCACTCACCGCCCGTGGGAGCCACGTCCACACAGCCCATCATTTCAGACATGTCGGAGGTCGACCAGGAGAGACGCGGCTGGCGGGAGATGACCGGACGGTTCAGCGCGGAGACTCTACCCCTCGGCCACTGCAGCGACGAGAAGCGTTCCTGGTTGAGCCGGAGGCCGTCAGTACGTAGCACGCGGGCCGCGAGGTCTGAAGAACGCCAGAGGTCCGGGTTCGAACCCCGAGAAACGTCTCCGATTGCGGGGATGTCTACTCTCGGCGCCTCGCCTCCCAGTCGGGACAAGAGTCCGGACAGACAAACGTGTCGTGAGAAAAAGGGAGAGGTGGAGAGAGCGAAAGAAAAGAAGGCAGAGGCAGAAAAAGAAGGAGGAGAACAAGAGGTAGCTACAAAAGACGAGGCGTGTAACACTAGTCTGGCCTACAGTCTAGAGACCCCCGTTGACGGCCCGCCGGAGACGGTAGAAGACTCTGAGGAGGTGGCGAGACAGAGTACATCCTCGCAGACCAAACGCCTCAGCGCCTCTCCTAAAAGACCAGTCAAGAGAACTAGCAAGTCGGTGGATCAGAAAACATCGAAAGGAGCGGGGAAATCCTTCTTCAAAACGCCCTCCGCAGAGTCTAAAACCAAACCCAAATATGCGGAGAACTCGTTAAAGAGAAAAGCTTCCTCAGCGGACATAAAAACTCAGCGGAGCGCATCTCGGGAGAAGAAGAAGGAGAAGGAGCCGTCACCAGTCGTGACCCGCCCGAAGAGATCTGTTATTTCTAGCAGCGTCAAGAAAAAGAAGACAAAGGGCGGCAAGCCCAAGCACAACAAGACAGCCGGCACCTCCTGCAGCACGCCACCCGCCAGCCGGCACAGCCCCGTAGACGGCTACAGGACCTTCCAGCCCGAGGAGGAAATGACCCCATGGAAGGATGGGCCCTCTGACGGAGATGTCAATCAGGACAGCGACGGCCTCAGCCTCTTGGCGCACACCATCAAAAACCCGCGCATCCTGCGCACCAGCCCTCTCTACGCCGCGGGCGTTACGCCCCAAGAGCCCCAGCCCTCCTCCTCCCCCGATATGCCCAACCAACAAGACGTGTTGAAGTCTGCGTCCCCCGGCTCGCTCAGCCGGCCCGTCCACAAGGCCACCTCCCCGATGCCCCAGCAGGCGTGCGCTTCCTCTACCAGCTCTTCCTGCTCCTTCCAGTCTGTTGACGTCAAGAGGAGCCCCCGAACCGCTCCCTTCTCACTGCACAAAGAGACCCCGGCTCGAGCCAACAAATCTCCGAAACGCGCGAGAGCGAGAGGGAAAGCAGACGGCCACAACGCGATCACGGTGAACTCAGAGCTCATCTCGAAACACAAGGACTGCACAGACGTCGTAGCGAAATGTCACGTGACCCGAGGACACTCACCGCCGCGGAGACCAATCAGCGGTAAGAAAAACAGTCCCGTGTCCTGCCGCTCGGACCGCTACCACCCCCACGATATCCTCTCCAAATACCCACAACAACAGCGGTACTACCAGTCGCCAAAACGAACAAAGCGCCAAATGGTATCGCCACAGCAATCTTCACAGCAACAACAACAGCAACAACAACAACAGCAGCGACAGCAAGCAGCCGAGAAATCTCCCGTCGTCGTCACTCACACTCACGCCAAAACTCAGTCTCGCGCGTGCGGGGACCACGAAGAAGCGGACGACGAGGAAACGAACGACCGCCAGGGGACCACCCTTCAGGGCCGGATCAGCTGCATCACAGAGTCGGGCTCCTTCCACCGGCTCAAAGTCACCGTAAAGGACGGCCACACGTGCCCCATGCTGCTGCACCGGCAGAGACTCCAGCAAAGCGGGGTGTCGGACGTGCACGATATGAGGCCCCGGTGCCAAGGGATGGCGGAGTGGGTGCTGGATATCTCGCTGGTCGTCCTCGCCCTCTCCTGCACCTGCGTTCTCGTCTACGTCTACCAGAACCAGTGATTGGTTGGTGTAGGCGTGACGTCATGGTCGCCGACTGCTGTAGAGGCTGAGTTTATCAAGACCGCCACCAATACCACTACCACCAGCAGCGTCATTATCATCATCATCATCATTATCATCATCATCTTCATTATCGTCATCATCATCATATTATGATTGGTGACTAATGTAGCTGATTTTACCAAGACCACCAATGCCTCCAGCAGCAGCAGTCATCATCATCAGGATCATAATCATCATCCTTATGTGATCGATCGGCAACTGCAGAAGCTGAATCTACCAATATCATCACCATCATCATCATCATCATCCCCCTCCTCATGTGATTTGCAACTACAGAGGCAGAATTTACCAAGATCCCATCTTGGGTCAAAGGGATGCTCAACTGTTAGTAGACACGAGCGTTTCCCTAACCCCAACTATCTAGGTCGTTCTATGTTGCCGTCTAGCCTTGTTGCCATTGAATCTGGTGGTGTAGTCACGTGTGTTTGTTTCGGAAATTAATGTTTACAACACTTTCCCTCACTCTGCTCGTGGGTGGTTGGCGGGTGCTTTGGTGTGGTTTGCCCCTTCTTTCCTATAAAAAATCTATCGTCTTTATCCTTCTTTTTTGTGTTTGTTACTCTCTTGTAACACCTGTAATCTTCGGCACTTATAAGATCGTATTGTGTTGCAAGTGCCGTAAAACTCTTACTAAATTTGAAAAATTCACTCTGCTCCAAACCGGCATCTGTGGTGTAGCGGCTGGGCGCTTCGTCATCGCACACAGAAAACCTTATTTCGAATCCTGCGTGGAGACAATTTTTACGGACTACCTCGGTCTTTCTGCTGGTGCGTTGCTGCATACCTCTCTCAGCCAGGGTTGGCCCTAATGAGAAGGGTCGAAATCACCTTCTATGTATCGATGGGAGCGTTAAAAACTTTAAAATAAGTTAATTAAAAAACTCTACTACATTCACGTAGTTGTGGGATGATCCAGAGACGCAATAGCCTTATGATCAAGAGGCCAGCTTGTGTCGTCTGTCTATCCAGGAGAACCGTCTTGTCCTGCCTAACCAGGGAACCCCATTGTACCATCTGTCTGTCTCTAGAAAAAAAAACCCCGTCTTGTCCTATCGGTCTACCCAGAAAAGAACATCGTGTACTATCTATCTATCCAGAGAACTATCTTGTCCCATCTGTCTACCCAGAAAAGAACATCTTATACAATTTCTCTATCCAGAAAACCACATTGTAACATCTGTAGGCTATATAGAAACCATCTTGTCCCATCTGTCGCTCCAGAAAACCATCTTGTACCACCTTTCTATCCGGGAGGGGATATACATAGTACTAGGCATCTATCCCTTCAAAGGATTTTTCCTCCAATCGAAGCAGTGCAAAGGGTGGTTAAAAAAACCCCAACAAAACAAGAAAAACGAATCACTTCTCTCTTGACACCCACCCCTTGGCGCTCATATGACCTTATGCTGTTGCGAGCGCCGTAAAACCCTCTACTATAATAAGAAGAATCACTTATTAGCCCAAAGGGGCGAGGTGTTTACTCGTGGCAGATGGTCCATCTTCGCCTTGTCCTCTGGGTTTTTTTTTATAGGGAAAAAGGGGGTGGGGGTGGTAGGGGA